AAGCTTGCCACAGCTAAATAAGTAGAAGTTCTAAAGTGAAATAAAACATTTTCAACTGTTTCAATAGCATCCCGTTCATAAGGAGCTAAAACAGCTTTTCGACCTCGATTATAGATGCGTTCACTTTGGCGCGCTATTTTCGATTTAAGGATTCAATAGCCTGTTGCTTCAGCTATATTATATGCTTTAAAGAGCTCTTTTCGAGTCATTTTGCCTGCAGTAGCTTGCGCGTCGCAAAGGAGTCGTACGCGACGGGGTGTATCAACTATTGTATTTGATTGACAAGGGGCTTTTGGACTCAAAATGAGCGTAGGATCAGGCTGCAGACATGCTTTTCTGTTGGTTTTGCGTGTACGAGCCATTTTTGAGAGGATTTCGAGCAGAATTGGTGGAGCTATAGATGTTAGAAAAGGGTGGGTTGTTCAAGAGGGTGCGCGAACTATCATTATTTCTGGCACGTGCCATCGGCCCATCGGCCCATCGGCCCGAAGCTTGGCGCCAAAATTCTTTGTGCATAGAATTTTGGCACGGAGCTTCGGCCCATCGGCCCTACGGCCCCTGCCCCAGTCGCCGCGCTGCAGCACGACATTCAAGTGTCTGCCTCATTCCACCCTCTCCACTCTCTCTCCTCCTAATCTTCTTTTCCAGCATGCCGTCCACACAGTTACGCACAACAGTTACCTCTTATGCTCAGTACACCTCTCCTGCAGAACCAGCCACCAAGTCTCTTTGCATGCATGTCAACGAATTTCTTCTTCATGGCTTTCCAATGGCGTTCTCTTATCCCATTCGTCCTTCTTCCATCCCTTGTAAACATCACCTCCGGAGCATTGCTTGACTTTCCATTTCCATTTTCCTTACGATACTTCAACATCACCCTCTCGCCAGGGACTTCCTCTCACCGCCTCCTCCCGACCTACTCAAGACTGGGATATACGCAGTCCCAAAGTCGCAACATCCACAGAATTACAAAGTCACAAGATGACCAACCGAGCAGGACAAATAGCGCGTTCCCCCAGGCCATGATCTCATCCTACCAAATCCCTTCTACCCTTCCCCTCTCACCAATTCTATCTCGGCTTTTAAGGCCTCAGAAACCCTTTGACACACTCCCTCCCTCTTCTCTTACAACCATCCCACAGCACAAGCGCCAAGCAAGGTTCTTCGAGCCAAAGTTCAAGTCGAGCCTCCAGAGCGAGCCAGACTTTTCTTCCCGCCCCTCAAAATCCCACACAGAAACTCGACCCTCAAACCTTTACCCTCAATCGCAAGCTCTATATTCTACCCTCGTGCCCCGGGAACTCTGTCTAACATGCCCATTTCGTATTCCGCATCCCGAATCCGGGGAGCTCCAGATAGCAAGCTTAAGCTCAATCTTCTTCCAAACCCGAACTCGGATTCATGAGTCGATACTTTCTCCTTCTCCATCCTTTCTCGCAAAGCGCAGCCAGAGCACAACCACAAGCAAGGGACGGATTTTGTTCGCTTGTTTCTTAATCTCCTGAACTCCATTCCTCTATCCTGACGCTGATGCCTATGTTAACAAGCATACCTATACCAACAACGGTAGACAGGCAGCTAGACAGACGGGAAGATTAGTGAACGCATAAACGCATAGACGAATGGGGATCACAAAGCTCCACTAATACGTTGTCGAAATATGTCTACAACGGATCAGAGATTAAATATATATATACCCATCGAACAGGGGCTCGGTGTTGCGGAATACCCGACAGGAAGCCCGGTACAGTCAGTACCTGCGCAGAAGGTAAGACGGGTGGTAGGAACGGTGAGTAAGAGGAGTCAAGATGCTAAGTAATATTCAATCGGAAGTATACTATAATGAGCCAGTCGAATCCACTCCGCCCTCTCGTAACCTACTACAGCAGGAAAAGAACTCCCCTCAACCTTTCCTATTCCCCAATCAATCTTGAATCAGCGAGCCCAGCCAGTGAACTAGATTAGTCCAGCCTTCTCAACAACTTCGTAAAGGTATGTAAGACCCCAGTCAGCGAATCGCCTCCTCCCTCAACCAGCTCGTCACTCAGTCACTCAGTCACTCGGTCACTCAGTCACTCGGTCACTCGGTCACTCGGTCACTCGGTCACTCACTCACTCACTCACTCACTCACTCGTTCGTTCGCTCACTTGAGACCCTCGACCCCTGACCCAAATCAGAACACAGTATTTACATAAACAAGGTATTTACGCCCACTCAAAGCCCCCTAGCCATCCCCCCCAGCCCAAGCACAAGCAGCCCTACCACGAATCCAATTCCAACTACCAACCCAACCGAGTCCGCCCCAGATCATGAAAGCCACCAAAACACAAACAAACAACAATCAGCCAGCCAAGCAAACAAGCAAGCGAAAGCGCAAGCGCAAGAGCAACAAGAACTGCCTGCCAGCCAGCCAAGCTCCCCTTCCACTTTCTTATTCCCCTTCTAGTACTAGAAAAAAAAGAATTTAAAACGCAGAGTCGTCATCTGGCGAGAAAGAGAGAGAGAGAGCAGGAATGTACGGACGGGCGGGGTCAGGATCTGATCACGTACTACATGTAACAAAATCATGCGCGGTGCGGTACGGAAGGAGGATACGGAGAGGGATGAGGGAACGGGGGGAACGGGGAGGGGAGTGGCAGCGACGCCTAGTGATGGGAAGGGAACTGCAATAGCACGCTGGAAGTCGGAAATCGAGAGAGTAGCACGGGGAACTTCAAAATAAGTGTCATCAAGCTAAGAAGCAAATCATAGGAGATGGCGAGGGAGGTACGAAGGCCCAAGTTGGCAAAAAGGCCAAACCAGGAAGCAAACAGTACCAGATCACATCACAACTAGACGACAAAGAAGGGAAAGCTTTGTCGCACAAAGTCGGTTTTTTTCCTTTTCTCTGATTTTAACTTTTCTAGCTAACATATCAAGCCCGTAGCTCCGCTCATGTAGCTCATCAAGTCATGCTCTCATAAGTTTGATGGACGATCATGGTGTCGATGTCCCTCACCTCCAGTGAGTCCGATATAGACAAGTCATGCACCCTGCTTCCCTTTCGTTGATAGAAAATGTCTTTTTTTTTCTCTCCATTTTCGTCGCCCGCAAGCTTTTTATCAGAGACCGAACCCGAAATCCACCGGAAGCAAAGCACAAGAGACAAGCCGAAAGAAAGAGAAAGAGCTAGAGAGCTCGCTCGTAAAGGGGTGTTTCTGGGTTCATCGTAAAGCTAAGCATCGTCATCATTCCGATGGCGAGCACTGGCTACAGCCAGTCAAGATCTTCGAGATCAAATGTACCACATGGCAAATTGAATGCCATTGATTGGAAACATTGCCATCAATGGGCGAACTTCAGAATCAGATACGTCGGATTGAGCTGCAGGTTGATTCTGCTTAAACCCAGGCCCGCCCTGTGGTCCTTCGGAAGAAGGGATATTCTCGTGAGCCTTTGCTCGGTTGGACGCCAAGTGTGCATAGTACACGGCCGGGAACATTGAGACTGAGGTAGTCGATCGCATATACTGATAGCAATGCTCATAGATCATGTTTTGAATGACATTGGGAGGGTGGTTGCTTTCGTCATGGATGACGGTGTAGTGAACAGGACGAGCTGTGCCTTGCAGAGCGATATGCGAATATAGGTAGAAGTCCCACTCGAATGGCATAGTACAGTCGTGCTCGATCAGGGTTCCTGGAAGAGGATTGCCATTCTTGTCGGCACCAGCCTTGTCTTCGGGAAAAGCGCGGACGTGATGACGCTTGGCGGCAATGATGACAGTGATCTTGCCCTTCCAATCAGAACCCTGGATCGTACTCAAGACGCCCTTGATGTGTGGGACCTCTTGTTGCATGACGTGAACGAATTGGCCCTCAGAGACACCATCGCGGAAGTAATAGACGGTCCCAGGAACACGACCACCTCCAATTGTTGCAACCCACTGCGTAGCCAACGGGGTCAGCATTGAAGACCAGTTAGCCTCAGTGATGATTTCGACGCGTTTGCCATTCGTCTGACAGGCCGCCGCATAGCGCCCACCGAATTTGTCAAATGAAACAGTAAGAGCTGCCATCGAAGCCTGTTCACTGCCGGGAGATGCATGAGAGACGTCAGCACCAATGACCATGGTTGGTCCTGGAAAACTCTTAAACCCGCTAGTACGATCAGGCTTTGCTTGAGCGGTTGTTCCACCGAGCTTTGCGTTGACCTTCATCAAGACATTTGAATAATACTGAGGGTTGCCCTTCCTAACCTGCTGAAACTGCAGAACTTGCGAGACCACCCCGAATCGACAATCACAGGACTTCTTGATGCGAAGATAGTGAAAGCTATTCTTGTCTTGAACAATAAAGATCAAGAGTTGAGGTCGCTGTTTGAACATGTTTCCGGTCCCGTTGTGAAGTTGTTCAACTGCCTGGGCAGGATCAGCGGGAAGTCTCATGAGATTAGGAGGTGCGCTGGAGACTTTGCCACCATGTTGGCGGTATGCTTGGGCGAAGTCCTTTGCGAATTTCTCCAACATGGGCTTGTCAGCATTGCCAAAGACTCCAATTCCCCAAGCGGCAAGCTCTTTGGGGTTGGTGGTGAGAAACTTCTTGCCACGCAGATCCCATCGACCAGCAGTTCCTGGTTTCGCAGCGGCACCGCCGAATTGAACCTCTGGGGATGGGAGGATACGAGCCTTGGTGCGGATCATGGTAGGATTGACCTTGAGCCCATATTGCTTGAGAAACCTGTCTTCACTCCAGTTCAGCCATCCTTGGCCTTCGTTGATGGATGAGTTTCGTACATCAGGGCGAGTCACAGCGAATTTGATCATGTTGGCAGTTTGCGTCTCGTCAAGCTTGAATGCATAACGCTGGTTCTCGATGACATGGAGAAATTCCATGGGATAGAAGACGCCTTTCTTAGTCATCTCGACAAGAGGAAGGCCAGGATATTGAAGAGTGACGTTATATTTTGTCCTGAAGTATTGGGCGACAGATTGTTGTTGGCCAGTAAGATTACCACTGGCGTCCTTCATGTCGAGCATGTGCTGTTGTGCATTGTGGACAGAGAAGTCTTTGATGTTCCAAGCTTTATCGGCCACCGGGCAGCCCTCGTAGCGAGCCTTGACCAAGACCTTGCGAAAGTTCTTGGACATTAGCTTCTGGAACTGTGAGGCCTTGACTGTTCCGTTGTCTTGCACAGGTCTGCATTGCTGCTGAATGCCCTGAGGATCACGCAATCTCATTTTGGCAATGATTGCAGCAATGAGGGAGGTGGGTTGCCAGAAGCAACAATTGGCAACATCGAGATTGATGATCGCTCGTTGACCTTCGGCCAGGCGAAGACTCTGGTACACCCCGCGGAAGACCTCGACACCACCACCCAGAGCAGCGCGTTGTCCGTCACGGATGAAGAACTGACGTCGGATTGGAATGAAGCGAGGGTTACGGGATGGACCTTCGCGAAGGAGATGGTCAAGGAAGTCTAGAACCTGTGAGCTGGATGTCCATACTTGTGAGGAATGGCAGAAAGACTTACTGATGCCTTCGAGAATCTCTGGGCCCATTTGAATTTGCCTGTTGAAATATGCTTGGATCAATGAGAGGTTAAGAGTTTTGGCTTTGCGAATCACGATACGGAATGTGTTGGAGGTCCGTCCGGAGGAACGACCTTCTTCTGCATCAAGATCTGCCATGACATGGATATCTCGATCAAAGTTCTGGCCGCTCCACCCGAGCTTGTTGCCGTCGAAAATGAACCACTCGCCAGTAGCGGCCTTACGGGCCTTCGACGCCCAAGCTTTGAGAATGACTGCTCGCTTTTCGGCGCCGCTGCCGATCTGGACATCATACTGGTAGACCGGGCTAAGCGGAAATTGCACGACAGGGAACGAGTTTAGCTTGACGCTAACTTCTCTGCCAGTGGTGTTGTATCCTGGTCGAGTTTTGAAGTCGGTAGGCAACTGGTACTGTTCATAATAATCAGTGCCGGGCGAAGTTACGAATCTGGACTGGAAAAGAACGTCTGATGGTGGTAGACTGCTAGAGGGAGAATTTGACCGCGAAGCTTGACCAGACAGAGGACGGGTGCTGCCAGTAGAACTGGAACGAGACAACATGATGATAGGTAGACTTTAGGAAAGAGAGAAAACGACCAACAAGAGCCCTTTAGGCTTCTCATATACTAGGAGTGCATGGCCCCTGAGTCACCGATGGATGCGTGAATCGTTAGGCAATGCAATGGTGGACCGAAACAGTGACAGCAATGGTACATGTCCAGCATGAAAGGACGTTAACATGGAATCAGACAATAGCCCGTGTAATTCCACCACAGATGGGTGAAGGGAGAAGTCTTGAAGATTTCCCGATAGGCAGAGGTGAAGACAGAAACCATGACCGCACGTGAAGAGCGAGCATTCATATCCAATGAGAAACGTACCAAATTGTCCATATTGTAGAATGAGGCAGGCAGATCAATATTGCGGAGGCTGTCAGTGAGACGTGCTTGACGGGCTGGGTCTCTTGCTGGATCGGTCATGAGGGGTGCTGGAGCAACCGCGGAGCTTGGTGATCTTGGTGAGGCAGGTCCTGGTGCAAACGATCCTGGTTGTGCAGCACGTGGAGATGTTGACGGCGACCCTGGTTGAGACCCGGGGTCTGATATCCCAGATTGTGCAGTTGATGCAGGTCGACCAGCTGAGCCAGTATTGCTCGAGGCACCTCCACGAGACGCCGGACCATCGAAGGCTCCAGGAGCGAGTCCACCGCCACGAGCAGACGATGTATCAGACTGCTGTTGCGGGTTGCCACCTCTGCCACGACGTCTGGCTGGGTTCGACATGTTGACGAATGATTGAGATGTCTGTTTAGCTGAATTTCAGTCAAGGCTAGTCTTGAAGACGAGAACAAACTTGCAATAGATTGGGAAGGCAAAACATGCGGAAGTTAGATGTGAAGAAAGGAAAAGCTGAAGGTACACAAATATGGCTCGGGATGCAACACAGATCGAAGACATTAGCAGGTTGTAAGGAGCATACGGGACGTGCCTTCACGGAAGAGTAGTTGCAGAGCCCGAGGAACAATACTGTTCAGAACCGCCTCAACGACTATATAATGAGCAGACCCTCCGTCAAGGACGAAAGATATGCGAACAAAATGAAAGCAAGATGCAGAGATGTAATGGGAGATGCGGATGAGAAAGGGATTGGAGGCGGAAATTTTGAGGAAAAATTGAAACCCAAGTAAAGCTCAAGTGCTCGAGTAATGTGGAAGGGAAAATGACCAAAAGAAGGCAACCGGCGGAATGAGCTTACCTTGAGTTCACCGTGATAGATCTAAGTCGAGCTCGCAATAACCTGAGAACTGCTGATGGGGTTCTGATGTCGCTGAAAGGAGGGGGGAGGGGGTGGCGAGGTTTAGGAAAGAGCTGGGGGAAAGACTTGAAAGCCGACTGGTCACTTCAAGTGGATGGGAGGATGAGATAGAATAGCTTTGAATGCCAAAGGCTATCTATACTGGTGTTGGTGAGATGGTTGTAGTGGGAAAGAGTTACGTGGGTGGTGGAGCGCGTTATGAAGATGCGACCAGACGGTCCGAGCTCACTAGTAGGCAGCTCTTTACCCTACTATTGGTGCATGGCTCACGGACCACCAGTAACGTACCTGACCCAGAAGCGCAACGGGT